ACTCCGTGCCCGCGGCTACACGCGGCACGAACTAGGTAGTTTGGATTAGGCTTCCTATTCCGAACTACCGGTACACCTCGTGGAACTACCTAATCCGAACTACCTAGTTCGTGCCGCGTGTAGCCGCGGGCACGGAGTCCGAACTAGCAGACATTTAAAAATTGCTGCGCCCGGCAATATGCAAATGAAGTCCGGGAATTTCAAATCCCGGGCTTCATTTGCAATTCCGGTTGCCTACATTAACCACCCTAGTTCGAACTAGGGTGATAGTGTAGACATACCCTCCGTTACCAGAACTGGCTGAAATATGCCCACCTCTTTTCACAGAGGGGAAAACCAAAGTATTAACTTATGAATTCATTTTCATTTCAAAGTGTGCCAAATGGACCCATTTTTTAATTTTTTCCCCCTTTTTCAAAATGTCCTACATCTTCTCTATTTTCCCTGTCCCCAAAGAAGTTAGTGAAATTTTTCCTTTACAAAAAGCCGCTCCAAAAACTGGCGCTAACTAGTTATAAAAGACTTGGAAGTTTGTGTTAGTGAACAGGCATAACATTTTTACATAAGAGTAACCATTTTGAAAATGTCAACAGTTTGGGATGAGACAGTTTTGTTTTAGAAAAGAGTCCTTTACTGCTCCCGAAAAGAAAAAAAAAAAAACTTTAAAAATTTCAACCAGCTCAGTGTTGCATTCAGACAGTAGGGTGCATCTTCAGCTCCCCTTAGTGCTATTGGAAGTGTGTGTGCTCCACACTTTATAGCAGCGAGTTTTTAACTACAGTACAAACCTACCCTCGGCAGACTAGCTCAATCTAAGTGGACTCTATGTCTCCTGAGCTTTAACTTACACCTCCAGCTATAGTGTAGATGTACCCTTGGGGGCTTACCTGAACTCACTCAAACAATCTGTGATGCAGCCAAGAATTAAGCCTGTGTATCCCAAAGTAAGAAAGAAAAAGATTCTTTTAAACGATTTTTTTGGAGTTTTGCGGATATCTAAAACTCTGATAATGATTTTTTAAAATCTTGTGTTACTAAAATGGTAAGCTCTGCATCTTTATTTATTAATTAAGTTGCTGTAAATAGGACCATTATTAACTTTAAAAACCATCAACAGCATGCAGGCCCATAAACACAAGTGAACAAGTTAAATCTCGGTATGCCACCTCTGAAAGGTTGCTGGCCTCTGGCATAAGGTACGCTTATCATGTTTGCAAATACCATCATGCTGGGTGGGGTTGCAAGTGCTTTGGAGGATAGGGTCATAATTCAAAATCATCTGGACAAACTGGAGAAATGGTCTGAGGTAAAGAGGCTGAAGTTCAACAAGGATAAATGCAAAGTAGTCCACTTGGGACCGGTTCACACTAAAGGGAAAAGTTGACTTAAATCCAGCCATGATAATCATGTAGCTGTAGTCCCTTACTCTTCATGAGAAGCAGGACTACCAGTGCCAATGGAAGCGCCCTCTCAATTGAATTAGCGGGTCTTCACTAGACCCTCTAATTTGAACCCAGGAAAATTGACTGCAGAAGCATCGATTTTCTCTGTAGTGTAGAAAAGTCCTTAGGGAGGAACAATCAGTTTCACACACACAAAATGGGAAGTAATTGTCTAGGATGGAGTACTGAATATGAGTCATCAGTGTGACACTATTGCAAAAAAAGCCAAGATCATTCTGGGATGTATTAACAGAAGTACTTGAGCAAGAAAGACACAAGAACTAATTCTTCCCCTCTACTCTGCACTAATTAGGCCTCGGCTGAAGTATTGTGTCCAGTTCTGGGCAACATATTTCAGGAAAGATGTGGAGAAACTGGAGAAGGTCCAGAGAAAAGCAACAAGAAATGATTAAAGGTCTAGAAAATATGATGCTTGGTCCTGCCACAAAGT